AATGATAATCGCATGTTCCATATGTAAAGTTTATCTTTTGCCAAAGGTTCCTGGAGCTTTTGACATCTTTTAGTAAAAAGGGTGCCAGTCACAATTTGCTGACGCTGTTCTTTCTACACAAGAAGAGAGAAAAACCTAGTTATATCCTTAGGTGGTATCAAAAACTTGAATGGGTATATCAGTAGAAACCGTTTTCTGCACACAGTATCTCCTGCATGCCTGTCCTCATACACAGTATCATTACAGGCGTAGGGAGTTATGCCTTTGTAGGACTTAGCTGATTTCATCTACTTCACTGTGGAGGCGATCGTCCCAGAGGCTCGAATTCTCATAATGTGGCCATCAGAGGGCCTGTCAAGTTTCTTCCTTTTCCTTCTTAGCACTAGCGTGAACATCTTGGAAAGCATCTGTGCTTCTTGGTTCTTGTTTCTACTGATTTTGCTTTTGTCCCTGCTCCAAGACTTGGAGTCAGCCACTGCCTTGGCAGTGTTGGTTCCTTTCAGGGACACATTGTACTAGACAGCAGCAGCCGGGCATGCAGATGTGCCCTGTTTGTGGGCTGGATGATACCAGAGCTTGCTTGGGCCCATTTAGGGTCTGAGTAAAGAAAAATAGTTTTAACTATTTTTAAGGTCACGAGTTCACAGTAGTGTTTTCTGCTTAAACAGAAGTCCTTCCTTATTTCTGAAAACTTTTTAGCTCATTTTCTTTTTCGAGCCTCTCACTGCTCCTTTTTCTGTCAACTTTTATCTGTAAAGGTTATATCGAACCATGGGTTTAAAAAGTTCTTTAAATCACAATGTTATGTAAAGCTTTAGAAACCTTTCTTTCAAAAGTTCCATCTTGTTCCAGTTTAGATTAAAGTAATACCTCTAATAAACTCACAGTTCTTCATTTTAAGTGAACTTTACAAAGAATATATGTGTTTCAGAGCACCTGGGTGGCTCAGTTGGTTAAGCATCTGCCTTCAGCTCAGGTCATGATCCTGGGGTCCTTGGATGGAGCCCCATGGTTCTCCCTCTCCCTCTGCCCCTCTCCCTGGCTCGTGCTTGCTCGTTCTCTCTCTCAAATGAATAAATAAAATCTTTTTTAAAAGAAATAAAGGAGGGACGCCTGGGTGGCTCAGTTGGTTAAGCAGCTGCCTTTGGCTCAGGTCATGATCCCAGCGTCCTGGGATCGAGTCCCGCATCAGGCTCCTTGCTCAGTGGGGAGCCTGCTTCTCCCTCTGACTCTGCCTGCCACTCTGTCTGCCTGTGCTCGCTCTCGTGCTCTCTCTCTCTGACAAATAAATAAATAAAATCTTTAAAAAGAAAAAAAAAAAAGAAAGAAAGAAAGGAGGGTTGCCTGCGTAACTCAGTTATTATGCGTCTGCTTTCGGTTCGGGTTTTGATCCCGGGGTCCTGGGATTGAGCCCCACATCAGGCTCCCCACTTGGGCAGGAAGCCTGCTTCTCCCTCTCCCATTTCCCCTGCTTGTGTTTCCTCTCTCGCTGTGTCTCTCTCTCTAAAATAAATTTTTAAAAATCTTTAAAAAAATAAAAATTAAAAAAGTAAATATTAGATGTGTTTCAAAATGAAACATTTCTGTTCAGTAAATCATGGTTGTATAGTAATCCTATAGGCCTTCTTTCTTTTTTTCTTGATGTAAGTATTTTCCTTTTAGTGTTAAGTTCATATGATAGCTTCAGATGGTATCAACACACACAATTATTTGAAAAGAAAAACCCTACAAATCTACCCCCAAAAGAACACCAAGCCATAATACAAGCCACAATACATAGTATCTTAGATAATACTCTACAAATAATAAAGGATGGTGATGCCAGCAAGACCACAGACAGAAAAGGCTTTTGAGATTTTATTTAAAACTATTTAAATTTTCGGGGTACCCATGGCTCAGTCAATTAAGCATCCAACTCATGATTTCATCTCAGCTCATGATCTATGGGTTATGAGGTCGAGCCCTGCCTTGGGCTTTATGCTCAGTGAGAGGCTGCTTGGGATTCTGTCTCTCCCTCTCCTTCTGCCCTTCCCCCTGCTCACTACTCATGCTTTCTCTCGAATAAATAGATACATGAATCTTTTTAAAAATCTTTGAATTTTCATTTCGTGAGCCAAAATATATAGTCTTTGCCTTTTGTTCATTTACATTTTTTATTCTTACTATTATTTACTTCTGCCAGGACAGTTTTACTGTTGGACTTCAATTTCTCAAGGCCTTGAGAGAGAGACAATTTCACATATTCATGATGTGGTGCTTCTGTAGTCTTTCATGTTGAAAGAATGTAGAAGAGCACATTTGCATACACAAAAAATTGTTTTTTGATTAGGATTTTTAAAAATCAAGTATTGCCACATAAATGAAATCCTTTTTGTAGTCCTTTCTCTTGGAGGTAACCATTGTCTTAAAGTTGGTGCAGATTTTTCCTTTGAAAGTTTGAATGTTGCTCCTACATGTGCATGGTTACATCAACAATGAATAAATGGTGTTTGGTTCTCAAGATGTACATAAGTGGCATTATATGGTATGTAACATTTTGTAACTCACTTTTGCATCAAATGTTTCTTTAAGATTTTTCCAGATTGATGTATGTAAATTTATTTCATTCTTTTCAGTTGCTATGCTGCATCCCGTTGTATGAATATGCCTTAACTTATTTCCCTGTGGATGGATGTTTGTTTAGGTTACCATTTTTTGGTTCTTCCAAACAATGCTTTATTGAATACCTTCATATTTCCTTAGGCACTGGTGGAATAATTTCAAAGTATATATTTAGAAGTGGTTACTGAGTTGTAGACCAAATAGAGTGTTATGCTGTATTACTAACCCATTCCTCAGAGTGTGCCAATATATGAGAATTCTTATTTTCCCATACAAATTCTTACAGTTAGACTTTTTAATTTTAGGCAACTTGGTGGAGATGAAGTGGTAACTAATCATGATTTCAGTTTGCGTTTCCCCAAACACTATTAAGATTGGGCATCTCATCATAGTTTATTTATATTTCGGTCTTCTCATCTAAGAATTTCTTTTAAAAATGGGATAATAAAGGAAGGTTGATGTCCTCTTTATTGATTCTCTGGGAGTGCCCACTCTGTGCCCAGCACCATGTAAGTTCCCCAGGTACATTAGAAAACAAAACAGTCTTCCAAGTCAAATACAGATCTTTTTAAAACAGGGTAACAGAATGTTAAAGAGAGATACTGAGTTCTAACTTTAACCAGAGCCCCAAAGGCCAATAACAGAGCAGTAAGGGCCAAGTCCCCTTGCCTTCTAGACCCTCCTAGGCAGGACTGGGCAAAAGATGGAAGCCCCTGCCGGCATGAGCGTTCACCCGCCGCTAGCCTGTGAAAGGAAGCAGCTGAAGGTCTGAGAGAAGCATTCCTTCAGGGAAAGTCGTTCCTGTTCCGGCCATCCCGCCAACACATGTATGATGCTGAATGCTGCAGGAATGAATGGCATTGCTCAGGCAGAATGTGTTGCATGGGAAGAGTGAAGAGGTGTAGAGTGCAGAGCCTTTTGGAACTAGTACCAAGGAGTGGGCCGCAGTGGAGGAACATGCCTTTGGTGTTCTATCTAAAAAGTCATTGCCAGACCCAAATTTATCCAGGTTTTCTCCTGTGTTGTCTACTCAGAGTTTTATAGTTTTGCATTTTATATTTAGGTCTGTGTTCCATTTTGAGTTAATGTTTGGGAAGGGTGTAAGGTCTGCATGACCAACCACTCTTTGTCCAGGGCATGTGTTGGGACTGTGGGGAGAAACCCTGAGGAATGAGGTGATGTTCCCCTCCAGGACCAACAGCACGTTTAGCAGATTTGCTTACTGCTTGGGGTCAGTATAGTAGGTTCCCTGAGCTCAGCATTCCTTTCTTTGTAACACGAGTCAGTGCAAATGCGGGGGTCTCCAGGCCCTCTACGTTGCCCTTGTAGACCTGGGGACCTGGGGTCTGGGAGAACCAGCACAAATATGCCAGTGATCATACCGCTGGATTTGCTGTGTGTATTAAAGTCCTCTTCTTCTGACCCAAGAACTGTGTGTGAGACATTAACCGATGAATGTATTAGCTTATGTGTAGGGTAAAATCAGATCACCAAACCGATAATTAGATGATGAAAATGAGAGAGCGTTGGGCCTTTGAAAAGTAGTTTGTTCAAAGGTTTACCAAAGACCGGGACGCCTGGGTGGCTCCATTGGTTAAGCTGCTGCCTTCGGCTCAGGTCTTGATCCCAGGGTCCTGGGATCGAGTCCCACATGGAGCTCCTTGCTCGGCAGGGAGCCTGCTTCTCTCTCTGCCTCTGCCTGCTTGTGTGTACCTCTCTCTCTCTGGCAAATAAATAAAATCTTAAAAAAAAAAAAAAAAAAAAGGCTTACCAAAGAAGATTGTTAGGAAGGGAAGAAAAATCAGAATGTGGCAGCGGGGTGTTCAGAATATTGAGACGTTGAAAAGTTTATATTCAAAGCACTGTTTTATGTCATCACTGGCTTGACACACATACCTATTACATGGATGGGGCTCCAAGTTGGTTTGGAAAAGGAAAGGACAGTATTTCTTTTCTGAGGACTCTGTTATCCTTGTCTTTAAATGGGTATAAGTTGTTTCAAGGAGTTAGAAACAATAACACAGCAGATCTCTAATCTCTGTGTCTGGCCCGCACTATCAGATGGCGTGCTTTACTGCCCGCATAGAGAAAGCTTATTTCATTCTGGGGGGGCAATGATGTTGGCTATTCAGGTTTTAGGGTTTTTTTTTTTTCCTTCTCCATATATCTTTGGACCAAAATCTGTAATGGTAATTTTCTATATTACTGGAGGGGATAAAAACCTGGGATGAAGAGTGTTCATGTGAAAGTAGAATGAATTAGTAAGCCAGGGGTGTGTAGGGCGGTTAGTGAGAGAGACAGTCCCAAGCAAAAGATGGTGCAGATATTATATACGTTACTGCCTTATCCTGTTTTCTCGTCTCTTGATTTATTGACTGACTCCTTGAACATGATGAAGTTAGAATACGCATTCCCCCATCACATGGATTGCAGCTTTTCAGAAAGGCAAGCCACAGGACAGTTTTATCTGAACCTGATGTCATGAGATTCTAGAGTCTGCTGTCATCACATTCTGTGTTATCACCATGTTAATTCCACACACAGGTTAAGTGTTCAGTCTTCTGACCTGTTCCACCTACACAGGGCATTTTTATGGCTTAAGGATGATGGCTTAGGAAGGAAGGGAGAGATTTACTTTGGATTAAATTCAATATGGGAAAATACTTAAGGTAAGCCTTTAAAAAGAAAAGAAAAACCCCCATTGTTCCATATGCGTTCATGTGCTAAAGAAAACTGACATGTTCATGAACCCAGCTTTAACGCTTCCTTTAGTTTCCCACAATAACTGAATATGAGGACTCTGGGTGTTTTATCTGAAGTATTCTCTCCAGAGACGTCCTGCTTCTTCCATGGTTACTATTTTAAAATGTATTAGTCAAAAGGGCATACATTTATTCTACTTAACTCCTTAGAATGTGGTAGTTCAAGAATCTCAAATAGATATTATGATTTACTATTTTTAAGAGAGGAAACTCTCTCCTTTCCTTCAGGGGATATTTTCATTCTCGTGCCTTGTGGTATGTTTCCCCTGGTCTTTCTGCCTGTTTCCCTGATTCTTTCAACTGATCTTCCCAAGGTTTAACAGATTGGGCAGGTACTGTGCAAGTAGAGATAATCTTTTAGACTAGGGCATTTGGGGGAGGGGGATACATCTCTGTGACCCTCAATTCAGCTGCCATAATTCTCTCATTCCCTATTGTTTCCATATCAATAAAGTAGATATCACTCTTCAGAAGGCTTGGCAGGGTTCCACCTCTGCTCCTTGTTTTTTGTTTTTGTTTTTCCCCTCATTTGACACTTTTCTCACTCTAGCCGCAGCAAACAGGACCAGAACTTGCGACCAAATTATCCTGCAAATCAAGTTACTTCAGACCCCCTGCGGCATGAAGCTTCTTCTTTAACTCATCAATCTCTTAATCCTAAAAGAACTCGTCTGCCTGCAATATGTAATGTCAATTCACGTAGAGGAAGTAAAAATTTATCTTCTACTCACTCATCTTTCTGTGGAAGAAGACATTCTTTACTTGCTAAACTTCAGAAAAGCAGTATTTTCCCTGACCATCAACACAGTAGAGCTAACTTTGATTCTCAAGAAAAACGAACCTTCCGTGATTTAAAATCTTCCTCAGACCGTCTTGGCCTTAGATTCCAAAGTTTTTTCTCTGCCCCTAAACTCAGTATAATTTCCTGTTATGAGAATGCTAGTTTTTTTGATCTTCAATCAAGTGGTCAAATCATCTTTAATACAGATGAAATTGAAAGAGTTTCTAAAAACTCAAGTATTTCTGGTGCTGAAAAATATCTAAGCTCTTGTTCTCCTAAATTTAACCTTACACATTTTATGAGTTTGGGAACAAGAGCTAATCCTTCAGCCCATCTACACACTGTTGGTGGAAACACTTGTCAACATAGGACATCAACCTTAGCTTCCCTTCCAGGTATTATTTCCTACACCTATCAACAGAACGAAACTGCCACCGATATTGAAGAAAGAGGCCAATCAAGGAAAGTTTCCCTTCATCCTGTTCTCAGAATCACCATACAGATCATTCTCCACCTGTGGTTCAGCATCATCCCTCTCAAAGAGTAACTTCCCCTATTTTCTGTAATGTTGGATTTTCTTCACTTTGTAAAAAAAAATGCTACTCGCTTTATCCCACCTCAGAAGGACATGGCTTTGGATTCCTTTGAAGATAAAAACATGGCTATTCCATGTCATGATGAAGACAGATCTTCAACTATTGCAATTCCTAAAATAACGTTGCCACAGACTTTCCCCTTTCTTAGAAGAGTAGCTTAAATCAGAAATTTTTCCACCAGGCACATTCTATAGAAATCATGGCTCAGCTCTCCTAAAAGTCTATCTCACCAAGCTTCACTGCCTTTTCAGAAAAAAAAGACCTCCACGTTGCAGTCTAAATTTAATTTTAATTGCTGTATGTCTTTGGAAAAATAGCTTATGACTTTACTGAAATTTAGAAGTCAAAGGTTATTAATCTGTTTAAGGCTTTTAACAGATTGACTGCTAACAGGTTGACCAGTCTCAGATTTCTGAATGATAATTGTAATATTTCTGTGATCTGAAAATAACCTCAAGCATTGGTATATGTCTTCTAGATGTGTGACATTCTCTGAGAGTTTTAACATCATCTTTTATCCTATTTTAATCATTACAGACAGTATTTCTACCTATGTCATCTATAGAGCTATATTCAGCAATTCACAAATTTTCATTTGTATCAACATTGCTAGACACATTTCTCATGCCAGATAGCCCAGAGACAGATGATATTTTTACTAATACAAGGATCAAGTTATAAGTAAAAAATATGATAATGGAAATTATTGAATATACTGAAACCAGGTATTTTAACTAAATAATTTTAATACACATTGTGTGTTTATGTCTGAGACTTCAGAGGACTGTGAGATCAGAGGTGATAAATGCATATTTTAGTCTCACTTTTTCAAAATGAATATTTTTCAGATTTTTTTCCAAAATTTTTAAAGATTTTTTAAATAAAAATTTTATTTTAAAAAGTGCCTCCCAAAACTTTATTTTTGAGTAAATATCTTTCAGTTTTTTTCCCACTATATTAAGGTCTATAGATATATTTATCAGAATAACTATTGAATAAAAAAATGCATATAGACAATTAAAAATACTTAAGTTAGAATATAGTTACTCTTTGTAGAGGAAAGAAATTGGCATTGTGTTCAATTATTTATCATGATAAAATGCCCCCTAAACCTGCATCATTGGGCCAAGATATTACTTTTACTTTCATGTTTTTCTCCAAGTTTTAGCATTTCTTGTAAAAAAAATTTTTTCTACTTCATTTTTTTAAATTGTGGTAAAATTTACTGTCTTAACTGTTTTTAAGTTTAATGGCATTAAATACATTCATATTGTTTGGCAACCATTATCACCATTTTTCTCCAGAGCTTTTTTCATCTTCTAAACTGAATTCTGGACCCATTAGAATCACTCCCCCCTCCTCATCCCCCCAGCCTCTGGCAACCACTTTTCTACTTTCTATCTGTATGAATTTGATTCCTCTAGGCACCTTAAAGAAGTGGAATTATGTGGTATTTGTCTTCTTGTAATGGCTGTTTCACTCAGCATAATGTTCTCAAGGTTCATCTATTTTATAACGTGTCAGATTTTCTTTTTTAAGGTTGAACAGTGTTACTTTGTATGTACAGATCACATTTTACTTATTTATTCATCTGTTGATGGACACTTTTGTTGCTTCTACTTTTAGCCATTGTGAATAATGCTATGAACATGGGTGTACAAATATCTCTTCAAGACCCTGCTTTCAATTCTTTTTGATTGTCTATCCAGAAGTAGAATTACTGGATCATATGGCAGTTCCATTTTTAATTTTTTTGAGGTACTGCCTAATTTTTTCCATAGCAGCTGCACCATTTTATGTTCCTCCAAGAATTCATAAGGATTACAGTTTCCTCACATCAACACCAACATTTCTCTGTTTTTTGACAGTAACCATCCTAATTGGTACAAGGTGGTATCCCATTGTGGTTTGCATGTCCCTCATGTTTAGTGGTACTGCACATTTTTTCATGTGCTCATTGGCCTTTTGTACATCTTCTTTGGGAAAATGTCTTTTCAAGTCCTTCACCCTTTTTTTAATTGGGTTGTTCGCTTTTTGTTGTTGAGTTGTAGGAGTCCTTTATATATCCTTGTTATTAACCCTTTATCAGATATATGATTACAAATCTTCTCTCCCATTGTGTGGGCTGCCTTTCACTCTGTTGATTATGTCCTTTGATGGCCAAAATTTCATTTTCATTTTGATGTCTAATTTATCTATTTTAATTTTGGTGTCCATCTATTTTGCTTCTGTAACCAGTGCTTTTGTTGACATCCCCAAAATAGTAAATGATCCATTTTTTAGTTAATTTTTAATTTTTGCACAGAGCCCAGTGTCATTCTTTTGCATATAAATACCCAGTTTTCCCAACACCATTTGTTGAAGAGACTACCCTTTCTCCATTGATTGGTCTTAGGACCCCTGTCAAAAATCATTTGACTATATATGTGAGAGTTTATTTCTGGGCTTTCTATTCTAATGCACTGATATTATACATGACTTTATGTCAGTCCACATTATTTTGATTACTGAGCTTTGTAGTAAGTTTTAAAATCAGGAAGTTTGAAACCTCCACCCTTATTCTTTTTCAAGGTCATTTTGGCTATTCAGGGTTCTTTGTGATTCTACATGGATTTTAGGATGGATTTTTCTATTTTTACAAAAAACATTGTTGGGATTTTGAGGGGGATTGCACTGACTCTATCAATTATTTTGGGTAGTACTGACATCTTAACAATATTAGTCTCCAAATCTATGGCATGGGGTTTCCAATTTTGTCTTTAAATCTATGGCATGGGGTTTCCGATTTTGTCTTTAATTTTTTTTAAGCAATGTTTCATAGTTTTAAGTACATAAATCTTTCATCTTCTTTTTTAAGTTTACTACTAAGTACTTTATTCTTTTCGGTGCTATTATAGTCGTTTTTATTTGCTTTTTAGATTGCTTCTTGTTAATGTGTAGAAACACATCTGATTTTTGCAAGTTGGTTTATATTCTGAAACTGCTGAATTTGTTTATAATTCTTACAGTTTGTGTGTGTGTGTGTGTGTGTGTGTGTGTCTACGAAATATTTAGGTTCTACATTTAAGATCATGTTATTTGCTAAGAGATTATTTTATTTCTCCCTTTCTGATTTAGGTATCTTTTATTTCTTTTAAATGCCTAATTGCTCTGGCTAGGACTCCTAGTACTGTACTGAATAGTAGTGGCAAAATGAGGCACTCTTGTCTTGTCCCTGATGTGAGAGGAAAAGCTTTTAGTCTTTCACCATTGAGTATGATGTTATCTTTGGGTTTCTCTTATATGGCCTATATTATTTTGAGGTAGTTTCCTTCTATTGTTAGTTTGTTACACACTTTTTTTTTTTTTAAGTAGGCTCTGCACCCAGCATGGAGCCCAAGATGGGGCTTGAACACACAACCCTGAGATCAAGACCCAAGCTGAGACCAAGAGTCAGATGCTCAACCTACTGAGTCATGAAGGCACCCCAGTTTGTTACTCATTTTCATCATGAAAGTGTGTTGAATATTGTCAAGTGCTCTGCTTTTTTCTGCACCAGTTGAGATGGTCATATGTTTTTCCCCCCTTAATTCTGCTAATGTGGTATATCACATTGATTTTTCATATGTTAAACCATCCTTGCATTTCCACTTGGTCATGGTGTATAATTGCTTTCAAATCTTATTTGCTAATATTTCTTTCAGGGTTTTTGCATCAGTATTCATCAAAGGTATTAGTCTAATTTTCTCTTCTTATAGTGTATTTGTACAGCTTTAGGATCAGGGTAGTAATGGCCTAATGGAATGAGTTAGGAAATGTTTCTTTCTTTTCAATTTTTTTTGGGAATTTGAAGAATACTAGTTAATTCCTTAAATGTTTGGTAGAATTCACCATTGAAGGCATGTGGTCCTGGGCTTTCTTTTGATAAGAATTTATTGATTACTAATTCAGTCTCTTTACTTGTTAGATCTGTTCAGATTTTCTGTTTCTTCCTAATTTAGTCTTGGTAGGTTCTATGTTTCTAGGAATTTGTTTGTTTCATCTAAGTTATCCAATTTGTAGGCATGCTATCCTTCATTATATTCTCTTATAACCCTTTTTATTTCTGTAAAATTGATAGTGATATTCCTCTTTCATTTCTGTATTTAGTTATTTGATTTTCTGTCCTTTTTTCTTAGTCTAGCTAAAGTTTTGTCAGTGTTGTTGATCTTTTTGAAGAACCAACTCTTGGTTTCATTGATTTTCTTTTTAAGTTCTGTGCATGTTCATTTCTACTTTCTTTTTATTTCCTTTCTTTTGCTAGCTTTGGGTTTAGTTTGCTCTTCTTTTTCTAGTTTCTTAAGCTATAGATTTAGGTTGTCGATTTGATACCTTTTTAATAAAAGCATTTATAACTATAAATTTCCCCTTACCACTGTTTTCACTACACTCTGTACATTTTGGTATGCTATGTTTTGCCTTCTTTTGATTCAAGATATTTTCTAATTTCCCTTGTGATCTATTCTTTGACTCATTTGTTGTTTAAGTGTGTTATTTATTTGCACATATTTATGATTTTCTAGTTTTCCTTCTGCCTTTGATTTACACTTTCATTGCAATCAGGAAAGATGCTTTGTGTGATTTTCATCTTTTAAAATTCATGAAGACTTGTCTTGTGGTGTAATATATGATGTATGCTGGGGAATGCCCCATGTTCACTTGAGAAGAATATGTATTCCTCTGTTGTTGAGTGGAGTATTCTGTATATGTTAGGTCAAATTGGTCTCTAACGATATTCAAGTCCTCTGTTTGCTTATTGATCTTCTATATGGTTATTCTATCCATTATTAAAAGTGAAATATTGAAGTCTCCTACTATTATTATGTTACTATCTGTTTCTACTTTCAA